CTCCTGAATATATTTCACATTTTAGAGTTAAATCTTCTTTTACTTCCCTGCCTCTTATCCCCACACACTCATTTTCCATAATCTTTAATCCCCAGTTCTGGAATGGCTTTTGTGGATTTCAGTAATGTCCCCCCCACACTTTCAACTCAACAGGCAAACTAGTAGTGCCTCTTGATTAGTATCTCTTCCTTTCCTTTGCCATGACTATTTGCTGAAGGTATCTTCCATGAGGGAGGGGCACTTGACTGTTCATTTAGGATTCTCCTGTATTAAGAGATTGTCTGATCTGACTGCTAAAATAGGCTGGGGTTGAGTGAGAGCCAGGATTTTAATTGTCTGTGTGAGTTCACTATCTCATGTCTCACTTTAGCTCAATTATTCTGTTTTAAGTTTCATGTTTCTTTTTGAGCTATTGTAGTTCTATGAAAATACCATTAAAACATAGCTTTTAAAAAAGCTTACTCACAGGTCAGGTTTCCTTTCAGTTATGTGGGGATGTATACATATGACAAACTGAAAATTTGACCAGAAATTAAAATGATGCTGATGGTAATACATTTTTGAACTTGAAGAAAGAAGGCTTGATGATATCTCTCTGACAAAATGAAAAAGCTTAACCAACACCACAGAGAATCAACTTTTAATTCCGTTTTCTGACTTGAATTCAACTTGTCATATATATTATCAGAGATCCTCATGTGACAGTTTATTTTGATTAATGTTAGCAGATATCAATCTTATGCATCATATTTTTGATTGATTGTATCGGATAAAAATCAATCTTGTGCATCCTTGGAATTTCTATAGTTGAGAGTATAAAATGTGCAGAACTTTTTGTTGGGCTGTCCTTCCATTTGGGGATTAAGAGGGGAGAACAATGGCTTAAATGTTGCAGTTGCATTTCAAGGGACCTGGGTATAAATCTGGTTTTAATCACAAATGAACGGCCACAAAGTAGTCTCGTGTAGTTTTTACTAGACAACTTTAAACTTAAATTGGCAAAAGTTATAGTGATGAGGGTTATAAAAGTGTCTGAAGAGGCAATATTTTCTATTAATCAGAGAAACTGGAAGAATGAGTGTAGCAGGTCAGTATTAAGATGCACTTACATTCAGGGAGTGCAGCAAATCAGTCACCTGCCCATACTGACTTTATCAGGGTTCTCTCTGTTTTTGAAGTTCCTATCATAGCTTCTAAAGTCACAGACAATTTCCCATGTTAGAAGAATATAGGATGGCATGTTGTCTACTAGTGAACAGTTTCAAATGTTTCCGTCCTCTTATGAAAATAGAATCCCAAATCTCCTTATGTCTTGTACTACAAGGCTTCGCAAGTGAGTTTTGTCTGATGTCCTGGGGTTGAATTTCAGAAGAGATAGTCCCTACAGTGAAGCCCATGCTTCAGGTGTACATATCTAGGAACTATTTGTTAAATGTGTAATCTATATCAGTTGCTTTGATGGACTGCAAGGAAAAGCCTTCCTTAAGATAGCAAGAACCCACACTATAATGGACTTTAAGATGAAAACCAACATTTTAAATGCACCTGAAAACCCACAGAAACCAGTCTGCCATCTGGTCCCAGTTACAGGTTGTCCTCGCTGTAAGTCCAAGATACGTTTCAAAAAACTTGGACTGAGATCGAAACACCTTAAAGCGGGGAATTTTTTTCCTTGCGGCTGACTTCCATTTGAGAGAAAAAATTTTTTGGCATGACTTAGGAGTGGGAAATGGGAGGGCTTACAATGCATCAGTTCCTGCAAGCAATGACTTTAGTGTGGAGGGCGATGTTTAGCAGGGTACCCTGTACTGTGAAGTTTATCAGTTTGTTCCAAAACCTCCTCTAATGACACCTCAATCTGGGACAATTCTTCAGATTTGTCACCAAAAAAGAATGGCTCAGGTTTGGGAATCTCCCTAACCTCCTCAGCTGTGAAGACCAAAGCAAAGAATTCATTTAGTTTCTCCTCAATGACCATATCTTTGAGTGCTCCTTTGGCATCTCAATCATTCAGAGGCCCTGCTGGTTGTTTAGTCAGCTTGCTGCTTCTGATGTACTTTAAAAAAACAACATTTTGCTATTACTTTTTGAGCTGTTCTTCAAAATCCTTTTCTTATATTTTTCTTATATTGGCTTTTCTTATATTTTTATACTTACTTCGACAGTTTATGCTCCTTTCTATTTCCCTCACTAGGACTTAACTTCTACTTTTTAAACAATGCTTTTTTTTCGCTCACTGCTCTTTTACTTGGTTGTTAAGCCATAGTGTCACTTTCTTGGTTCTTTTACTGTGTTTTTTAATTTGGGGTTTACATTTAAGTTGGGCCTCTATTATGGTGTCTTTGAAAAGCTTCCATGCAGCTTGCCGGGATTTTACTTTTGTCACTGTCCCTTTTATTTAATTTCTCTTTAACCTCCTAATTTTTGTGTAGTTCCCCTTTCTGAAATTAAACGCTACAGTGTTGGGCTGCTGAGGTATCTTTCCCACCACAAGGATGTTAAATTTTATTGCATTATGGTCACTATTTCCAAGCTGTCCAGTTATATTTACCTTTTGGACCAGATCCTGCACTCTACTTAGAACTAAATCAAGAATTGTCTCTCTCCCTTTGGGTTGCATAACCAGCAGCTCCAAGAAGCAGTCAGTTAAGGTATCAAGAAATTTTATCTCTGCATCCTGTCCCGAGGTAACATGTACCCAGTCAATATGGGGATAGTTGAAATCCCCTACAATTGATTGTTTTATTTTGATAGCCTCTCTAATCTCCCTTAGCACTTCATAGTCACTATCACTATCCTGGTCAGGTGGTCGATAATATATCCCTACCGCTATATTCTTATTACAGCATGGAATTACTACCCATAGAGATGCTATTGAACATTTTGGTTCATTTAAAATTTTTACTTCATTTGACTCTACATGTTCTTTCATGTATAATGCCACTCCCCCGCGAGCATGACCTGTTCTTTGCTTCCGATATATTTTTTACCTTTGTATGACTGTCCCATTGACTGTCCTCATTCCACCACATTTCTGTGATGCCTATTATTATCAATTACTTCCTTTAAGATGAGGCACTCTGGTTCAACCAGGTTACTATTTAGACTTCTAGCGTTTGTGAATAAGCATTTTAAAAATTTGTCATGATTTATCTGTCTTCGATTTCCTGATGTTAGACTCTTTCGTTTGATGGTTTCTCATCTGATCTTACCCACATTTTATCATCTTTCCATCCTCTCCTCCTTACTAGAACAT